TTTTTTTATGGATGGGCGATTTTTATTTAACTGCTTTTGGACTGATGAATGCAACACCCGCTGAGTGCCATGAAACAGCTTGAAAGATCAAACACAATTTTTAATATAACTCCGACTGGATTCGTCTGAAAGAAGAAAGTCATATACACCTAGGATGACTTGAGGGTGAGTAATTTATGGGCTAATTTTCATTTTTGGGTGAACTAACCCTTTAAGTATTATTATTCAACAATACAATAAGGGTGAAAGTTTAAAAATAACATCTGCATCAATTTTTGTGTGTATAATGATGAAAGTTTGCTCATCTTTGTTGGTGTTGCCAAGTTTCTGAAGATTTAGTGGCAATGGAATTTACGATCGGTTTACTGTATTGTGGAAAGATGTGGTGTTTGAATTCTTTGCCAATGATCAAATGCAAGAAAAACTATTTTATGCAATAAACTTGATGTTGTGGCATGCTACATTGCATATTCATAAATCAAGGCTTTCTAATAGGGGTATTTTGTGTGAAGAGCCAGCTGTTTCAGATTGCATACCGATACAAAAACATCATATATCAGTCGGACAAAATAGCCCTAGTTTTTTTTTTTTTTTACAAAAGCAATGAAAGTTTATTTGTAAAACATCATGCATTCATACAGTTTCATAAACATTTTATGTAACGATTAATGCATTACCTTATACACAGGTATGTTACCGCCCTGCAAACTCACTGAGACATGGGTGTGTTTTTAATTGTGGCTGAATTTCCTTGCATTATTATAGTGTAGGACAATGCACTGTTGTTGCTGTTGAGGTATTTTGTCACATTAAAATGTATTTTTTCCCCCCTTCATGTTATACAAATACAGATTGTTGCAAAACAATACATTTGTGAGAAACTGACCTTACATACAATATAATAAATGTAATTAAAAAAGAACACTTCAGGTCAGCAAACTACAGAATTGAAAGTCATTCACAGCAATACATCGAAAGTGTCCTCTTTCAATTTGTAGAAGAAAGACTATAATTTGTAGTGGAAGTGCATGCAATTACTAGGAATATTCACTGTAACATGATGTTTAACATGCATGAACATAAGCAACAGAACAAAAATAAGACAAAATAAATACACATTTATATGAAAAAAATCGTTCACAGCATTCGATAACGTCAATATACTTCAACATCCCTCTTATATGTTTTTCACAATAACCTAAAGTCACCCAAGATGCCACTGAGCTACAACTAGAATGTGCTTTTCCATACAAGACTCTTCTCCATTGACATTCAAAAGATGTAAATCAGGAACGTTAGATAAGTACTAGTGGCTCCCAAGGAAGTCCTGGTGGAATCCGTCAGTAAAGGGACTGTTCTCAAATAACACTCTTCCCTTTGTTTCGTTAGAATGATGAAGTGAGTCAATTAATTAATTGATGCAGTCCTTATGAAATGACTGGAATTCCTACATGTTCCTCTTCAGAGAACTGTGCCGTGGCCTCCTGGATGGCCAGCTGTAGTGCAGCCCCAGCTGGGAGTTTACAGTACCCACTTTCTGAAATGTTCTCCACCTGTAGGTAAACTCCGGGCTTCTGCAAAGCCACTCCGTGAAGATGAGAGAAGAGCAAGGGTAGGTCTTTAGTCAAGGTGTATCTTGAAGCAAGACCAAGTGCCGCGGGGATATCAGACTCTTGTGAGTACTCAAAAGTGGCCACCATGTATTTGGAGAGGTCTCGACCTAACGCTTTGGCACGGCACAGCTCCTCTCCGATCATGGAAATCATTGCCAAAGCAGTGTTCTCTAATGGTTCCTCGTCCTCAGACTGCTGCTTCTGATTCTGAAGGAGACCTTGTGAGCAGATGACCAACACAAAGTCACACTCGTTCAATCTCCTGCAATGCCACCCCATACTGCCCTCCTCCATAATACTCAAGGCCTCCCACAAGTCCAAATGCACCTAAACAGAAAAAGAAGAATTATAGGGTTAGTTCACCCAAAAATGAAAATTCTGTCATTAATTACTCACCCTCGTGTTGTTTCGAAACCCGTAAGACCTTCGTTCATCTTCGGAACACAATTTAAGATATTTTTTAAGAAATCTGAGGGCTCTCTGACCCTCCCATAGACAGCAAGGTAACTACCACGTTCAAGGTCCAGAAAAGTACCAAGATGATCGACAAAGTAGTCAGTGTGACATCAGTGGTTCAACTGTAAAGTTACGAAGCTACGAGAACACTTTTTTGCGAAAAACAAACAAACAAAAATAACGACTTTATTCCACATTTTCGTCCAGATCTGGGTCAGCGCCGGCGCCGCCACACGCTCGCGTCATGGTACTGTCGTGAACGCGTGTCCAAAGTGACTCGGTAGAGACGAAAATGTGGAATAAAGTCGTTATTTTTGTTTTCTTTGCACAAAAAAGTATTCTCGTAGCTTCGTAACTTTACAGTTGAACCACTGATGTCACACGGACTACTTTGTCGATCATCTTGGTACTTTTCTGGACCTTGAACGTGGTAGTCATAGTACTGTTCAATGACCTCTGACAAATAGGAAAAAACAACCCAATTCCCCATTAGTACAAAACAACACGGACATTTTAGTGGAAAAACACCTCATAAACATTTATAGCCCTAATCTGGAAACACTTTAGTATAGGGACCAATTCTCACTATTTACAAGTTGCTAATTAGCATGCCTATTATTAACATATTGGCTGTTTATTAGTACTTATAAAGCATATTCTGCATGACCATATTCTACATCCCTAATCCTACCCAATACCTAAACTTAACAACTACCTTTCTAACTGTTAATAAGCAGCAAATTAGGAGTTTATTGAGGCAAAAGTCATAGTTAATGGGTTGTTAATAGCGAGAATTGGACTTTAAAATAAAGTGTGACCCAAAATCTTCAATAAAGGGTAGAAAACAAAATCCCAAAGAACTGTTGCTTAACAGTTTTGGCGATGACCAGTTTGATGTATAATTATAAAACTCGAACCTGGTCTCATTTTGGTCTGGACCATTTTCTTTTTGAGTCTTTTCTTGTAGACAACAATGAAGGTGAGCAGTGCGGTAGCAGCAAGCAGGATTCCCACGGACAAGAGCACCATTAGTGAAGAGCTCTCTGTGAAGCGTGAGGTTGGCGGCTCTGATCGTGAGAGGGGAAAAATACCAAAACGATTATGACACTGGGTTTTTCATTGAAGTAAGTTTCAGTGGGTGTTGTCGCTTTAAAAGCTGCCTGGCATGTTTCTCCACAAGCAGATATTGTACTTGCTGAAAGCAGTGTATGTAAGAGATTTTTTCCTCTTTGTCATTGAACATGCCTTTATCGGTTTACACTACACTCTTAAAAATAAAGGTGCTTAAAATGTTCTTCACAGCGATGCCATTGAAGAACCATTTTTGGTTCCACAAAGAACCATTCATTCAAATCCATTCAATCTCTTTCTTACCTTTTTATAATCTGAAGAACCTTCTTTCACCACTAAGAACATTTTGTGAAACAGAAAGGTTCTTCAGATCTTAAAGGTTCTTTATGGAATACAATTTAAGATATTTTTGATGAAATCTGAGGGCTCTCTGACCCTCCCATAGACAGCAAGGTAACTACCACGTTCAAGGTCCAGAAAAGTACCAAGATGATCGACAAAGTAGTCCGTGTGACATCAGTGGTTCAACTGTAAAGTTACGAAGCTACGAGAACACTTTTTTGCGAAAAACAAACAAACAAAAATAACGACTTTATTCCACATTTTCGTCCACATTTTCGTCCAGATCTGGGTCAGCGCCGGCGCCGCCACACGCTCGCGTCATGGTACTGTCGTGAACGCGTGTCCAAAGTGACTCGGTAGAGACGAAAATGTGGAATAAAGTAGTTATTTTTGTTTTCTTTGCGCAAAAAAGTATTCTCGTAGCTTCGTAACTTTACAGTTGAACCACTGATGTCACACGGACTACTTTGTCGATCATCTGGACCTTGAACGTGGTAGTTACCTTGCTGTCTATGGAAGGTCAGAGAGCCCTCAGATTTTTATCTTAAATTGTGTTCCGAAGATGAACGTAGGTCTTACGTGTTTCGAACAACACGAGGGTGACTAATCAATGACAGAATTTTCCTTTTTGGGTGAACTAACCCTTTAACAAGAAATGTAAATAACCTTGTATAGACACCATTTTTAATGGATTCCATTAATTACATTTTTTAATGTGTAAATTCTATTTATTTCTATCATTTGTAAAACTATTTTATTTATTTTTTAATTGAGATGCTGATGGATAAAACAACAAAATATAATTGTAATACTGTTAATAATATTGTAATACCATAATAATACCATATTGTAATACCAAAAAAAAAAAAAGGTAAAATATCCACTTTCTCCTTATATATATTCAAAATAATGCGTGATATATCACTGTTTTCAAGAGCGTGCAGAAGATACATATCTATTAATTCATAAAATGTCTATTAATCTTAAACAAATGTAATTTAGCATTTCATGACCTTAAAATAAGCAACACTGTGTTTTGTCTGATTTAATCTTGATGCACTTACTTGGGTACCCATGTGCTTTTGCAAAAACGCAGCCAGTTGAAGCACGACTCTGACGTGGGCAGGACCATCATTACTTGAGTAGCAAATCAGGAGGCGAGGGGGACAGGTGGCTCTGTCCAGCAAAACACACTGTCCTTCATCCAGTTTTTTGTCATAGTACTGCGTAAATGTGATTTTTTTTTATTGCTGGTTCAGCATACCTTCAGAACTATGTTTTACTACAACAATGAATGTTTTCCTGACTGCATCCACAACATCTGCAGCAATCTGGAGAGAAAAAGTACAAGAAACTACTCAACACGTAATAAATAAGGTCATAAATTGCTGTTGTAAAAAAATCAGCTGTAAGTTGTATATTTAGATGAATATCATATTTATATATGATAAATATGATATTTTATATATATGATAAAAATGTATATGATAAAAATGTCATATTTATATATGACATATTTATATGAAAGCAAAAACTGCACAACTACTTATTTGCAGAAGCCTATTGGCACAGAGTTTTCTGTTTGTCTGAATGGTTGCGCCTGAATGAGAGATAAAATTACATAACTTACGATTTAATAACAGAGTAAACTAAACCAAAATGAAGACTCACCTCGCAGGTGTAGTTCGTACCCACTTGGAGATTCTGCAATCGGTATGTGTGATGTGTCTTATTGAGACTGAAATCCTAGAAGAACATGATTTAACAATTAACATGTTCTTTTATTTTAATTATACACTCACATTACACCTCAGCAAATAACAACAACATCTGCATTACAGATATTGTTCTAACGTATATATTGTTAACAAAACCTACTGGTTTGATGCTTGTGTAATTCCGCAGGCCGCCTCCGAAACATGATGAAAAATACTGACGGACTTTGAAGTTCTCAGGTGCAAGGTTAAAGGTCACATAAACGTCCCAGTTCTCCTGGTGGACCTCAACGTATCTGGGATACCAGTCTATAGTGATTGATAGAACATACATGAATGCGCACATCTGGTGCCAAGAACAACAAACACCCAGAAGATGTGTGATAACAACAACACTTACCTTTCTTACACTCTTCGAGACCATTTTTTTCAGGACATGCTGAAAACACACAAGAAGAATTTGACAGGTTTATTACAACTCAAGCTTTGACAACTGATTCCCTAAACATGCAGTGGCAGGTTGTCAACATTGTTAATAGCTTGCAGGGTTTGTTTTTTTAACTTACTGCGTGTGAAAAACTGTTTCCTCTGATAGAACTGGTCCCACCGCTCAGGAATGGGCAGTGCCATGACAGTCACAGCATACTCGCTATCCAAAGACAGATGCGTGAAGGGATCTGAGTGATACAACACCTGTGGAAATATGACTTCAGACTTCAGTAATTGGACACATGCAATTGAAAGCCATAAAGAAAAAACAGGACTCACACTAAATCGCTAACCATTTAAAAGATATAGGATGTAGGGCTGTCGATTTTATGCATTAATTTGGTCAAATTAATTTTGGAAAAATTATTAACATTTAAAGCACCACCAGCCCACATCCATGTTTCAGTTTTATATATATATATACAGTGGGTACGGAAAGTATTCAGACCCCTTTAAATTTTTCACTCTTTGTTATATTGCAGCCATTTGCTAAAATCATTTAAGTTAATTTTTTTTCCTCATTAATGTACACACAGCACCCCATATTGACAGAAAAACACAGAATTGTTGACATCTTTGCAGATTTATTAAAAAAGAAAAACGGAAATATCACATGGTCCTTATAAGCGTAAATTAAATGATGTTATTTTACATGGCTTTTTACAACACTACTTGCAATATTGTAGATGCTTGTATCTATAACACAAATACAACAATTTCACAGTCATGTAATTTAGTACAGCTTATGTAGATTGACAATGAGGTACAATGTTGAAAACTAGAAGACTTGAAGATGATGTTGTCATAGTTAAAAACAGTCGAAAACATCGGACAGACTCTTTAACGAACATAAGACATAAGAAAATCATAATGAGCTCTTCTTGGAAAGCAGCTGAAAAGAACAAACATACATATTCAAATTATAGCTTGGCTCGAGAAAATCAAGATATGAAAGTGATTCCCAGAACTGCTGCAAATGATTATACGGCACAACAGCTTGTTTTATTTAGCGAAATTATCAGAACAACTGGAGGTACAAGTCCAACAGAGAGAGTAACGATCCAACATCACGCAACCTGTGTATGACTGCTTCATTCGTTTTTAGACAACACGTGTGGTGCTGTCACAAACAATTCTAAATAAATGGACAAATACAAGTCATCCTTTTGGTATATTTCAACACTGATTGCTGTGAAAGAAAATGTAAACATGTTTCTCCAAATGTTTTCATTTAGTGATGCAGTGTATGTAATTCTTCTGGGCACAAAATGCAAGCAAAGTAAATGAATGCCAGTTTGTTTGGTCCACTTTTGACTGATTTTAAAAAAAAAACCTGACTGACTGAAAAACAGTTGTTTACTTCTTGGCTTAAATCTCAAAATTAACCTCAACAGTTGAAATTCAATGTAAAGCTGTAAAACAAAAATGCAAATGTCATAGCTATATATATCCCGAAACCTGTTGCCCTGAAAAACGTAAAACTTTAAACTCATCAGCAGCTGTTTTAATAGTTTTACAAACTGATCATCGACACTGTTTAGAGCAAAGTTCGCCCATATTCAGTGCCAGTTTATCTACAACATTGTTGTAGATAAACAGAATTTTTTTACTGGCAGTTTTAAATAATCGTGAAGGTTAAATATTCGTCTAATCGACTGGCTTAGAAATTCAAAAGTATACATACATTTCAGTAATACTCAAAGTAATAATAATCACTTACTTCCAAAAGGGCTGGAGAAGGGAATGCTGGGAGATATCTGTACGTCGTCTGCTGAGATTCTGCAGTATTCACATCTTGGATCTCCCTGAAAATACACATTGTCCACTTTAAAAAAAAACTACAGCTCGGAAAAATATTACAATTATTATTTTATATTTAACAGCATATATATATATATATATATATATATATTAGGGATGCACCG